AAAGCCATACCCTATAGAATTGTGTTTAGCACAGTAGCAGCAATCATTACCTATTGCACGCCATACATGATCACGGATGGTCATGTACCTGTCTATTATTATGTTATTCTCATTGTGAATTATGCGCTGTATCAGGTGTGTCTGTATTGCATGTTTGTAGCGGTAATGGCATTCTTTGCCAAAATTTCTGATCCTGCCGTTGGTGGCACGTACATGACATTCCTGAACACACTATCGAATCTAGGCGGAAATTGGCCGACTACCGTGGTACTGTGGTTGGTAGATGTGTTGACATGGCAAGAGTGTAAACATGTTGATCCAGTAGTGGCGGCGAAGAATAGCTGCCTGACGAAAGCGCAAAAAGCGGTAAGGTTTTCTAAATGAGAGATAATGTTGAATACAATTTACACTCATTCATTTTAGGAATGTGAGGCTGCAGGTGGCGAATGTCAAATCGTCTTCGACGGCTACTATATTGAATCAATAATATGCATATTATATGGAATTATATGGCTGCTGTGCATGCGACATTGGATAAATTACTTACAAAATTTACAATTGCGTAGTTGGTTAGTTGTTAAAAAAGGGAAGGGCGTAAACAGTGCTAAAAAGGCGAGATAGCAATTCATTGTATGACATGAGGAGGATGACGCTCATCGACATTTGCTAGACGCCGATGAGGCTGAGGCGGCTGAATTTGATAGAAAAACTAAAACAGAGCTTGAGGTTGATAATTCGATGATTTGAGAAAAAATCGCCAGAAATACCTTTGTTTAGTACGGGATTAGCTTAGAAAATAATAATTTAATGTATTTAAATTCCAAATGATATGCTTTTAAATGTATGTATGTATGATTGTAGTGCAATTACAAATGTTTAGTATTTAGTGTTTTACCAATTATTATCCAATGCATTTCGCTGGCTTTCAAAATTGTATTTGCATCCACGGCTCAAACTTTGAAATATATAGCTTACATAAAGTACAATACCGCGTATCGTCATTCTGCAAATCCGCATAACTAACATTTTTCTGTCAAAAATTGGACTTGCTCACAAAAGCTCTTGGCTAAATCCTTATCTATTCGTCCTGAAATATGCTAGCCAGAAATGCGATTGCTTTATAAAAAAGATAACCTATTTGAAATATGAGAGTTTTTACTCTCTACAAAATAATTTATGAAACTTCACATACGCGGTTTTGCATATTGCTGATACGCGGTTTTGAATTTGGTTGATACGCGGTTTTGTACTTTAAACAACGATATGTACATAAGCATTTTGTAGGTATGCAATTGTAATAAAATTTTTGAATATGTCAATGTAAGGTATATATTTGCTGTTATTAAATGATCTAAATAATAAAACTGCTGGAATATTTTTAAACTTTTCTGCTTCTAAGAGCATTTAGAGCATTTTTTTTTCATGTGTAGAAAATAAAGTAATCTTTCATGTGGCAGCCCGAATAGAAGTTGTTGTTTTATTCTAGCCGCTTTGGTTTTTACAAGGTTAATAAAAAAATTAATTGTTGACATTATTTATAATTACTCCTCCCTGAACGAACTCGTAAGCAAGATGTCGAATCCCTTTACTTGTCTTCGTAATTTAAGCTTGTTACAAAATTTGTTATTTTCATCAATATTTAGCAGCATTACCTTAATAATACTTCCACGAATCGACCGACTCCGGATTCTTTTGCTTACTCTTGCGTTCAATTAAACCAGCCAAATGTTCGGATCGCATCGACAAGGAGTCAATCTTTTCCACAAGCTGCTGATATGGACTCAGTGGTTGAGTACCCATCACCACATGACCCAGTTTTGAATCGATTTTGGCATTTAAACGCGCATTACGAATTAAATTTACAATCCAGCATTCCGCTTCATTGGCCTTCATGTTAAGCTTGTCGGCAAGCATGCTAATAGTGATGCATTGGTGAATACGACAGAAAGTTTCGAAGATCATAAGGCGGGCATCCTCGACGAATTCGTTCAAACAAGCGACAATGAAAAAGTCATTTAAAATTACTGTTTGGCATTCGTGCAACTTCAGACGAGCGCCTTCGAAATCGAAATTCACGTACAGACATTCCAGGAATTCGGTAATGGGGTCACGGTAAGTATATGATTCTTGCTGGATCACCTTGATGAGGTCCTTGAGCGCATTGCGGCGTGTACGATTAATGATGACGGCGGTAGCCAAGTAACGCATAATGTGTGGACACATTGTCTGTATAGCATTTAGGTAGAGAGGCTTATATAGGAACATGTCAATAATTAAATCGCGTCCCTTGGGATGGTTAAAGAATACCAACACAGACCAGTGGATCAACCATGTGCGTTGTTGAAGCGCCTGAATTGTTGAAAAGTTGGCATTATCAATGTAGTCGCGCAAACG